CTGGGTATTTTAATTGCTTTGGATAAATTGCTGCTGTTATTACTACTACTCATTTATAAGGTTTAATTCGTTCATCTTGTTATTAAACAGTTCTTCCTCATAGACCAATCTCTTCGAGATTTATTTGCTATTTTTTGTAAAATAATCGGCGATTTCATCTTCAGAACTAATGGTTTCGAAATGATCATAAGTATGAGAAATAGTGGATCCGTATACTTTAAACAGAGGGCATCTTTATAATTTCTCCTTATTATCTTTTTAGGACAACCTACTTAATTTCGATTTACTCTAAACGTTGCTTTTGAATATATATTGACTTCTTCTGACTATTTGATCTAAAATAATAGGAGAATTTCCGAATATCGAATTAGTAAGGTATTTAACAAAAAAATTATAAAACAACAATCCCAAAAACAGGATAATAATTTAATCATGCAATTTATCGTAATAATAAATGCAAATCAATCCAGAATTACATAGAAGTGTAACAAAATTGATTAATTAATAAAAATCATCCCAGATGCCTAAAGAGCCATCTCCTTTTGGCCATGGTCTTTGAAACAAAAAAAGAAGTTTCAATTTAGAGATCTAAACTTACAAGATATTCCAAATCCAAAATAATGTGATACTAAATGGAAATAAACAGCCAAATATATTAGTCAAAGTTAATTACAAAAAGAAATCCATATAATCATCTATATTTCCATATTTTTCAATGCTTTTTTAAAAAGGGATCCTTTTTTCTTGATTTTCGATGAAATCACATAGAGTCTAGTAATTGTAAGGATACAACTTTTAGGGAGATTTAACCAATTCGTGAAAGAAAGTCTTTAAGAACCTAATCACCTGCATCAAAAATATCCACATCATAGTTGTTCCAAAATAGTATTCCACATTATGTTAACAGTTTTCCTCCTTACAATATAATTCCAAAGGAGAATGGAGAAAACTAATCATCAACAAAGGTATTAATTAAGAGAAACAGTAAAGTGTGTATTTTTTAATTATATAGCTCGTTTCGTATTGATAGGAGGTCTAGAAATTTTCAAAATCTGTTAGAATAGTAGCAATTTGTTCGTAAAATTAATCTATTACTAATTAGATTATATAATTCAGTGATGCAGTAACTATGACTTCGAAATATTAAAAGTCATTTCCTAAATCATCTAATTTGGTCTTCAAATACAAATTAAAGTAATATAAACCCACAAATATTCCAATGTCTGATCCAATTAAAAATATTAAGATGAAAATAGAAATGATCAATCTTTAAATGAACTTAGAATGTAATACTCCAATTGAATTCAATTGATCATTTTCAATTGATCTAATATTCTAACCTTTGAATGAGCTACGTATAATGCTTTCTTTTACATCTCTATTTTATCCAAATTTAAGATTAAATGTTAGTTGTTACTAATACCAGCAATCAGTCTAAAAGGAACTCCAATGAACTAGCAAAATCGAAAAAACAGACATAGTAGCTGTATAGACTTCGTTATCATAATCCTATGAGGAATACAACAGAACACTAAACAACAATCCAAAGGCTGCCATAGGAGTTGAAAACTTAATGAAGTATGATGTAAATTCAAAATATAATCCAACCTTCTCTCCAAAATAGAGACAAATTTTTTCTATTGGGCAATACCATGGATGTAAATAATCTAAATTCCATTCACTTGCAATATCAAAAGGTTTTTTCTTATAAAATAGCTTTTCTTCGCTTACAGCTTTTTGAATACTCTTGCAATAACCAAACAATTCAAATTAATCGTGCAAACAGTATATTTATTTAACAAATTACAAATTAATTAGTGTATTTAAGTTAATTGTTTGTGTTATTACGGAGAATGCTAATTTCAATCTTTCATTATTTGAAAATAAAGTAACTTAATTTTATTCATTTTTAATGTATCTACACCATTTAAGTTAGTATTTGGCAATATTCTTTACAGATTCACCTACAAGAGTAATCTTGAAAGGAACAAACAATTCAAAAGGTTTTTAATGATACCTATCCCAAATTGTTTTTAAATATTGGCAAGAACAATTGGCAACTTTAAGCGCCTCCTTAAAAATGTTCAAATAATTATGAGCCAACTATTGTTGTTTGACTAACTTGATAGTTTTTAACTTTGGAAGATCCTTTATCAAAGGCATACTATACGATAAATCTATTAATTCTCTTACTTTCTCATACATTTAACTGATTTATTCAGAAGCATCCTCACTTAATTCTGTAAATTGATTTATTTTCTCTTTTCTATTGGTCCTAATTCCGTAAAGTTCTTCGACAGTCTTTTATTCATCTATGCACAAAGCTATATCACTATCTATTTAATTCTGATATCTCTAGATTTTAACATGCTTGTTCAAATGCACTAAATATTTATAATAAGCTGTCCATTCTTCATCAGTTGGACCATCCTGATCTCCGTATAAATCAGACTTTCCATATTCAAATAATTCTATATTTAAACCACTTTAGCCTACCTCTCTAGCTAATCTTTTGAAATTGATCTATTTTATTTAATCTATAATCAGAGGTCTTAAATATTCCAAATAAGGAGAATTATTATATTCATCTGGTCTCCATAATCTCCCATTCAATCTCAATGGGCGAAATTACTTATCCACAGGCTCTAAAGATAGGAGATCAGTAAAACAAAAACTCAATCTCTTTGGTAACTAGAAGTTTTCGGCAGCAATTTCAAGCATCTTTTCAGACATATACAAACAGAGGTAGATGGTGTATCCGTCTTTGGATATGAATGGTTTTACATTGAATCCCTTTCTGGAAAATTAGATTATAATTGCATTTCTTATTAGTGTCAATATGTCCGAGGTTTCATTTCTGGTTCGATACCAAGATTAGCCTTGCTATTTTAAATATTCTCCTTGACTATATGCCTTTTTTTACACATAAACTAATTTCTACATGTCAATTTATAAACAATCAGCGATATTATTTAAACTGCCTTAATGATGTGAGATGTTATCTTTTAAATAATTTCTAAACTTTTTAACTAATTTAGTTAATTGATCTTCCTTTTTGTAAATAGGAAAATCAGAAGTTCTATTCATTTAGTTGATATTATTATCCACGAGTATTAAAGACCGAGGACTTCTGTCTGGGGATTTTTGAAATAATTATTAAGCGGTTCCCAAAAAAACCAGAGTATTTCTTTGTTAGGGTTGATTCGATTCTAAACCTCTTGTCTTTAATTCAAATAACGAATATATTTTACGATCAGCTAAGTGGGTAAAGGCGTTTTCTATGGCTTTTATAAATAGCTTATCATGGATTGATTTATCATCAATTTAAAGAGACTTTACAATTTGTTCAAAAATTTCTAATTATCTTAAGTTATAATCGTATTCATCTGGAATCATATCTGGGTTTGGAAGACTTGGAAATTCATAAATAAAATTACATTATACCTCACAACTGCCTCTGGCAAATCAAATTCCAAAATTGCATTTTCATCCAATTATGTAATATTATTGAGAGAATAAAATCGTTTTTCATCTGCATGTCCAACATCTTGACCAAGGAGCATTTTTAGATAAATTTCATATATTTGAACGTAATCTTCTATTTGCTCTAATTTTTTTTATCTCCTTGTTTTATGTGTTATTTCAGGAATAAGTTAATGAAAATACTACACTGAGAGTTTCGAAGTAAATGCTTGTATTTTGCTGAATCTACTTTATCTTTAATTCATGAGATAATTAAAATTCAACTTATGAATTTTATTATTAGAATTATAAACATTTACAGCAAAGAATTTTCAATTACTTTACAGAGAATCATAGAGACTAAATTTAAAATTAAAAATCCTATCCTTGTTATCTAAACCATTTTAAACGCATAAATAAATATTATAAAAATATTCTAATTTTATCATTAATCCTTGTATTTAACTTTAAATTAATATTTTTCAAGTAACCATTTCTTTATCCTCCTTCTGGTTCCAACTTTCTCATTATCTATATCCTCATTGTTTTATCCTTTAATTATAGAGGAATTTAAGTATAGCTAGTCTAAGTTGACCTTTTTGAATTGAAAGAATATTATGAGAAAATACAACAAGCCCATTTTTTCTAAGAGTTACCATTGTTCTAATTCAACTATTTTGTAATCAAATAATCAATATTTTTATTATGAAATTTTTATTAAAAGCAATTTACAATATTGAAATTCAGAAATTGTTCTTAATTTTTATTAATTAGATAATGTGTAATCATCTAATAAAAACTAAAACTTCTAAACGAAATATCAAAATCAAAACCATGGTCTTCTTGAAAAATTTTTCATATCAATTTTATATTATTTTACAAATCTTGTAATATCTATCACTCCAAAATAATAAGTATTAAATCTCAATTCTTTTCTTTGTTCTCCTTAAGATATCTAATTTTTCATTATTTTATAAATCTAATCATCTATTTTATGTTTTAAGTGATCATTAATAACCTTAAACTTATATACCATTTTTAATTCAAAATAGTGTCTACAAGACAAATACTAGTACCATATTTCGTTTGACAAGGGAAAAGGTTTTATGGTTTAAATCAAATTGAAAAAATTAGTGTTCCAAACTCTTATCTCATATCTTTTAGAAATCTTAAATTCAAATCAACTAATTTTATTCGAATTATCTTTGTTTAAACTCCTCATAAATATCCTAGCAACTTCTCATAGCACTGAATGAAAGTAGATCTTGAATAGAAATTTTTTACCTCTATTGATTCTAATTATTCTGTAAAACTACTAACAAATTGTTATCAACAGATATTTAAAGAAGACTTTTAATTATTTTGCATTCTACAAATTTTAGAAAACAAAAAAATGAATTTTATTATCTAAATTAACCATTAGATCAATTCATCAATGTAGCAAGAAAAATAACAATGACATGATAATTAATGATTTGGTTTTAGGTTATTCGAAATTCTTGACAATATTTTATTTTGTTTATATTATATATATAATTATGCAAAAAACTATTTCCACAGGTGATTAAGATTATAACATTGTAAAGGCTGACAATCATCAAGATTCTGATGAAGAATTATAGGAAAAATAGGAGAAGAGCTCAAAATTAGTGATTGATGACGAAGAGGAATTGAAAGAAGTTCCCTTAGAATAACATGAATAAAACAATACTAATATCAAACAAGAAGTTTAATAACATCAGCAAGTGCAAAAGTAGTAAGTAATCTAGCAGCAATCCAATGAATAACCTAAAAAAGTTGTTGCCTAGGTTTATCCTAAGTTCATAGACTTTGATTATTAAGACATTAATATTAAATTCAAGCCTGAATGGAAGGACAAAAGATAAATCCCTGAACCAAATAAATTTGATAAGAAAGCAGTTATAGAAATTAAAGAGCCTGTGCTATACACTATGGATAAGCAAAAACCAAAACATGGAAGATCATTTTTTACTTCCTTATTTTCTACAGATTATAGATATATCCACATTAATGGCGGATATATGTATATTTTATAATTAAAGAATGATAAAATGCTTGTAAAGAGCGTGAATTCTTTATAGAGATTATTTAAATTAATACTAAAGGGAGATTAAATTTCGTTATGTTTCATCAATGCCAATCTAGATAAAACTAAACCACCTAATGTATTTATTATGTATAGATATAAAATTAGATAAAAACATATCAATTCTTGAAAGGTAAAGAATAGAAGGAGAAACTATTAATGAGATTAAGAGGGGAGATTAATAAATTAGGGTATGATTTTGATTTGATGAAATGAATTTTATCGATAAATTTATTTAATTTAATTATAATCGTTATTTTTTTAAACATTCCCTTGTTTTTATGAGAAAAAGAGACAGTATATCTGAACCTCCTCTAGATAAATTAGATCAAATAAGATAAAAGTTTTCAAAATAATTAACCAAAGTAAATGCTAAAGGCTTTGTAACTTGTAGCATTGGAAAATCTCCACAAAATAATGATGGATCAAGAATTTCATTTGGTAAAAGCTCGTTTTTAGAAAAACTCTAATCAATCAATTCATTTGAAGATGATGAGAGAACCCTCCTAAAGTCTATTTAATTTGACGTATAATTGGCAATAAAGCGATATCAATAAAGAATTGAATAAATTGCATAATAGTAAGTAGAAAGAAGTTCATTGAAATCTTGCTAATAAGATATTGTACAATACCTAACAACTCCCTAATATGAGTCAAATGAAATTTAATTTGATTCTTAAATATTAACAAAGAGATCAACATGTAAAAGTACTAAATAGAAGACTTAAATTGAATCAAATATGAATAATAAAAAATAAAGCAATAAAAACATTTTGGAGAATAAAAGATCAAATAAGACGTTTAAAATAATAGCTGATAAACAAAATAAAGTTAAGCAGACAAAAAAATAAAGCAATTAATCTCTCACTGAAATAAGTTTGCTAAATAAAAAACAATCCATGAATAAAGATGGTACTCTTAGTTAAAAATCGGTTTCTACTCGTTAACCTAGTGTAAAGGAAATAGCAATCAATTTAGAATAAAGAAGATCTACAGGAATTACAAATCGAAACCAACCAAGATAATCTAGAAATTCAATTAATTCCTTTGACAATAAATAACAAGTGAAATCAAAAAAACAATTAATGTTCTGACTAAAAATTACAATGTATGGCTTGAATACAAAGAAATATAAATATTAATTAATCATAATATAATTTATAAGTATTTATTTTAATAATCAGTCTTGCACTAGGAGTTTAAGATATTAAATGTTATAATCAATATTTCTTGGGTAGTATTATTAAACTTCAAATTTAATGGCTTTGAAGTGCTAAAGTATTTTAGAAATGACAACTACACATACAATAAATCCAAAAGTACAAATTAATATAATTTTTGTATAGGTGCTAATGTAATTAGAATTTGTATTAAACTATTCTAGAAGTATTATAGCAGAGTAGATCACGGTTATGACAACCATTGTTATTAAGAGAAATTCAAGAAATAAGGAAAATTTGAATTCTTTCCATTTTTGGAAATTAAAGTAAATGCACCCTTTGAGATGGTATTGTTATTTGCATTATTAACAAGATATTCTTTTCATTAAGCTGCCAGTTTAAATGTAACTTGTTGCACAACTTTGATGAGCATGTGAACAAGGACATATCTAAATTAAATTCTTATCTTTACAACAAAAGTAACAAACCTTGTTAGAAAGCGATTGCATCTATTGTTCCTCATTATTTCTTAAAGTGTTCAAAGATGTTTAAAGATTGTTTTGCTCTTGTTCAGGGCTATTTTACTAATATTTTCTATTTATTAAGTCTTCATTGAAGATACTAAGTTATTAGTTTGTTATCTTCTTTTTAATCATGATAGTTTATTCATCATGCTATTCTGAGAGCACATTGATGGATTTTGAAACTTGAAGTGATCTATAAGTAGTCTCTTTTTTGTGATCTTCTATTTCTATTGTTTTGGTGAGTTAAGGGGAATGGTGTCTGAATTCTGTAGACATAAAGAAAATAATCAATTGAGGAAATGATAATTTGTGGATTTGAAATAAGTCGGAGTGAAATATGAACAAAAAAATTAGTAAAAATTATAATAAATTATTGTAATAATGTTATGGATTGTCAATGACATAAATAATTCAATAATTTTGCGTAAAAAATGATATTTTAATTGATGTCTTTAAAAAATTTTAAATAAAAAGATTTCCATATTTATGAAATCATTGATATTAATCAGCTTGTTATTAGCTACATCTTTGTGTGCATTCTAAGAAGAAGATAATGTATTGGTGTTAACAACAGATACATTTTAAGATGCTATCGACACTTTCAAATTCATTATGGTTGAGTTTTATGCACCCTGGTGTGGACATTGGTATTAATATATAGTTTATCATTAAGCAAGAAGTTGGCTCCTGAGTATTCTGCTGCAGCTGCTGAATTGAAAAAGATTGGTGGAGACAATTACGTGCCTTTGGCAAAGGTCGATGCTACAGCTGAAGCATCAGTGGCAGAAAAATTCTCCATCTAAGGATATCCAACAATAAAATTCTTCATTAGTGGTCAAGCAATTGATTATGAAGGAGGAAGAACAGCAAATGAAATTGTTGCTTGGATTAACAAGAAATCAGGACCCCCATCTACAGAATTAAATACACTCGAAGACATTGAAAAATTCTTAGAGAGAGTATCAAGTTCTCCAATTCTTGTCTTCTTTGGAGCAACAACAGACGACAACGATTACAACACATTCATAGAAGTTGCATAGTCCAATGATAAAGTTACATTCGCACACACTTTAAACCTAGAATTAGCTGAGAAATACAATGTTAGAGGAAAGATAGTCCTTTTCAAATCATTTGATGAGAAGAGAAACGATTTTGATTAATCAGTGACATTACCTAACTTAGAAAGCTTCATAAATAACTATGGTAATCCAATCCTCTTACCATTCAACGATAAAGCAATCAACATCATTTTCTAATAGAGAAACAACGCCGTCATTTTATTCACAGATGATTCTGATGCTGGTGTTGCTGCATTTGATGCCTTCGCTGCCGTTGCCGGTTCATTCAAAGATAGGTAATCATTAAAATATAATCCTTAGAATCAAATTCTCATACTCCAAACCAAATGATGGATCAGGTTTATTCCACAGATTAGCTGAATATATTGGTGCCAGCACTACCAATGTTCCCAATGTGATGTTATATGACTAATTGGGAGGAAATGGTAAATACAGATTCGAAGGTGAAATCACAACTGAATCATTAAGAACCTTCTTAACAAACTTCTTTGATGGATAATTAACAAGATACATGAAATCAGAAGAAGTACCTGCTACCAATGATGAACCAGTTAAGATTGTTGTTGGCAAAAACTTCAAAGATTTAGTCATCAATAATGATAAGGATGTTTTGATTGAATTCTATGCTCCTTGGTGTGGTCATTGCAAGCAATTGGCTCCAATTTATGAAGGTTTAGCTAAGAAATTGTTGGTTAATCCAAATATCATTATTGCTAAGTGTGATGCTACAGCCAACGAAGTATTTCTTATTCTAATTTTTAGATTGAAGGTGTCAACGTTGAATCATTCCCAACAATCAAATTCTGGAAGAATGGATAAAAGAATTAAATCATAGATTATAGCAGTGGAAGAGATGAAGCCAACTTCATTTCCTTCTTAAAAGAAAACACTTCACATTAATGGGTCGATCTTGATAGAGTAGAAGAATTATGAGTGTATGTATTTTCATTTCATAAAAAAATATCCAATATTTTATTATAATTTATGAATACATTTCATGAATATTAATTATAAATACCTCTGACTAAACAACTCGAATCAATTAATGAAAAATCAAACATGGAAGGTAGTATCGTTTTAAGTAGCGAAAGGTTAAGTCAAAAATAAAAAAAATTAGAAATTAGAGTATTTCATTTGATTTCTCTTAGCAAATAACTTCAAGTAGATTGATACCCGTTAACAATGAAAAATTACCTAGATTGTCTCTAAGTAAATCTCCACCATAGCAGCTTAAAACCATAAGAGCAATAACTGAATATCAAGCGCCTTCTAAATTACAAACTATTAAGTCGTTTAGGACAAATACAGAAAATGATGCAATTCTCTATACTGACGATGAAAAATCAAAACCTAAATTCAGAAGGGATGATAAAAAATCAAAAACAAGCAATCAGAAAACTGGAATATACGAAAGTATGTAAAACAAAAAGTTTATTGAGTTTGCAGATTAAATTAGAAGACTAAAAGATTAATTAGATTCTTTACAAGTATATTTAATCTAACAAATAGAAATATTTGAATAATTCAAGAAAACTATTTTTAGTAGTGAGGAATATTGTTGAAAAACGAAAGAATCTAAGAAAAATTCTATTAAAGAATGGTAAAGATGAACTTGTAGAGTTTTCTGATATTGAAAAATATTGCAGCGTTAAGGAATTTGTCAATATCAATGGAGAATAAAAGCTGGTTGATAAATTAAATATCTCATTATTAGATGATATCATCTATGCCAATGATGTTTTAGAAAATTTGAAAATATAAAATGAAATTCTAGATATTAAAGAAATGGCGGACTAAGTACATTTTAATACAAATTATGATTATAATAGAAAAAAATTAAATCAGCAGGTTGAACAAAATTTTAAAAATCAATTAAGAAGAAGACTTAAAATTATCTTTCACTTCTATGGCAATGTCAAGATATAATTTGCATGAATAAATTGATGTTTTCGAATAGAGATTAGGTCCCCTCTAATCTATTAAAAAAAATTTAAAGTAAACCTCTCAAGCTATTACAACTTTTGTGAAATTATTATGCGATAAATGATACAAATTTCTTGATATTCTATTTATTATTATTCATAACTCTATTATAACATTATATTTAGTTATCACAGAAGTCATGAAGATGCTTTAATATTATTATTCAAGATGAATTGAACATAATAAGTTAGAGATCAAATAATTGCATATTGAAATAAGTAAATAAAACTCATCTAAGTCTTAAAGACTAAGTGTTATAAAAGTAATATCAATTTCGCTTGTAAGTTATATTTTCTAAAAATTGATACTATGAAGAATTAGTTTTTATATTTTCTCGAAAATTAAAAATAGGCATCAATGTCTAGAAATAACACCATTTTTGGTTTATGATGAAGAGAATCTAAAATTAAAGGTTATAGTAATTTATCCACAAAGAAAAATTTATTAAATTCTTTTTGAAACTGCTCATAATTATAGTATTTGCTTAAAAATACTAAATAAATGAATATATAAATTCTCTTCATTAATAACAAAAATTAATTAAGAATGTACCTGCCGTTTCACAATTCCTTTTAAATTGCCATGGTATTTTATTATTAATTTCAATTAATCTATTATCTTTTTTCTTTATCAATCCTCTCAATAAATATGATATATTTAAAGGACTCTCATGAAGTTTGAACTCAAGGTTATGAACTATATCTTGTCTGCTGCTAAATTAATAAATATTTGAAATCATCTGGATTTCTTTATAATAGCTTTGTATAAATGAAAACGATTAATTTAATAACATTTTGAATATTTTTACCCAAAATATAAGACTGTTCCAGCAGGTATGAAGTTTACGAATTTAATTTTCGTGAATCAAAAGCTCTGAGATTTGTGCTTCATTGTGATGAGATTTCTGTATAGCTTTCGTTGACCTCTTGAATTCCTCTAGTTTGAGAATTGTCGAGCAAATAATATTTATATAGTTAAATAAAACTGATAATGCTTTGTCATTTATTATTAGCAGGATTATTGACTGATTTTATTTTGTTTTATTTTTTCAGAAACTCTTTGATATCAGCCTTTAATTAGTTATATTCTTCTTTCATACTCATAATCATCCCAGTTGTCTCTTCTCTTTTGTTGTGCGAAGTCGTTATTTTTTTTTTCAATTAAAGGAATTGCTACAATCAGATTACAACAAATACTGGCCTTAATTCTGGGTTGTTATTTATTTCATTCCAAAGCTTTTCAATTTTTTGTTGTTTTCTCTACTGTGCTTATTCTTTGTATGCTTTTGCATCGCTACCAAATTATTGATTTTACATTATTAATATTTATATGTAATTTTATAATTATGCAGAAGCCTTATCAATAGAAATTGCTACGATATCTATTTATGAGTAAATATATTTAGAAGCAATAAAGATAAATAATTATACTTAAAGCAAAATGAAAAAGAATTAAATAGCATCTAATAAATCTAATAGAGGAACTTTACAAATCTTAAACTTCAGGAATTTAATTTTAACAAGACAAGTTTGTTATGATATTGTGGAATATAACAAATTACTTTAAAAAGTGGAAATTTTGTTCTAATTTAGTTCGTTTTAGGAAGGTGAGAGATCAGAGACTAGTAGATTTATTAAGAATATGCAAAATCATATTAATACTCAAACATCAATTTTTTTTTGGATAAGAGCTGATAGTTTTATGACAGATTATAATTCAGATAAATAAATAGAAATAAAAATTGAATTCTTTCTCATAGCAATTATATTGATTTTTAATCAAAATAAATCTTAATATTTTATATTTTTAATGTTAAACAATATTTATGAAAGAATAATAGTTGCATATACTTCTATCGATCAGAATTAAAGAATAAGCGCTGAAAAAGATTTGAATCTGCTTGAAGAATAGGATGCTAATTTATGTGGTTATTTATTGGAATTGATATAGACATAATAATAGAATAGCTAGATTAAATTTTTCACAATAATCCATTTAAAAAATGTTATTAAACGTAGGTGGAAAGCTTTTAAATAGATGGTTGGTTGTGAGAAAAGATAAAGTATTTGACTTTCTTATTTTAGACTATTTTGCAGAAAATTAGAAAAATTAAATCAAGGAATTAGTATTATAATTCTACTGTTAAGAACAAGTAGGTCAACTCAAATAGGAAATTTTATAAATTTTATATGTAAAATATAAATTGAAATATGTAGGAAATCTGCTCAAGTGACTACCCTTTTAAATATCCATTATTATTAAAATATATTAATCAATAATTGGAAGTGAATAATTTGGATGAACAATTATTATAATTCCTAAAACAAATATTCAAAATTATGCCTAAAAATCAATAAAAAAATGATTAATATAATTGCCTATGGTCAAAAATTGCCACATTATGGGTCAGAGCTGATAATCTAAATAATTATACATAGTAATCTTTGCTTCTACTTGATAAAATGTTTACTAATTTTATCTTATCCTATCATTCAAATGTTTTTAAAGATGAAATATAGTAAATTTTTAGTTCAATGTTACAAAAAATTGCCATCTTATTATAAAGCGACTCATAATAATAATATCATAAGAATATTACACATTTAATTTCTAAATGTTCTAAATTGGTTGCTAATTACCCTTTTTAAATAACCTAAAATTTACCAGATTATTTGTAAATGTTAAGTATAACAATAAATTCCAATAAAAAAATTATTACTAAAGGAGGTTTAATTTCCTTTATAAGATTCCTTAAACTATCATAATTTTTTTTAACTGATGATTTATTGTTGCTTAATATGAAAAAGAATACTGAGTAGGAGAAATAATTAGTCTTAAAAGAGAAATAAGTAGTTGATACAATTGTAAAGTAATTTTTTGAAAAAGAGAGCCAAAACTTCATCTAAAGATTTTTAACATTAATAACTTCATCAAATGAAATCAGTATTGAAGACATGATTGAATAAGAAGAAGAAAATGAATTTGAAAAAATTTTGCATCCAAAAGATGCTGAAATTTTTAGTTTAGCATTGATTGCTGCGGAACTTCTCATCGTCAGAGCTCCATCAATTTGTTCAAATTTACTTTAAGGATATATTGATTAGACAATTTAAGCATAATTTTAAATAAATCCAAATGTTTTAGAAAGTTTATTGATACTCATTGGTTTAATTCCAAGAATCTAATCAAAGCTAAAATTCTAATTTTAAATCTAATATCCTATAATTATCTAATACTTGCAAACGTCAAATCAACTTCATCATTAAAGAAGATTATCTATTCTATTAAATAGATTAATTCTTATTTTAGATCAGAATTAAATATTATCTTCTCTATAAGTAGCAGGAAATCTATTATCTACGTCTCAAGACAGCATAATTCAATATCAATCATTACTTTGTATAAAATAGGTGGCTGCTAATTATTAAGGAAACATCTAATGGAGTTAAATATTGGTTACGGTCTGCCCATATATAGTTGCACTTCTTAAGTGTCTAAAAAGAACAACAATTATCACACCTTTGTTAGATTTGCTCTCTAAACTAATTGAAAAATGTCAAAGTGAATCAACAGAAGTTGTGGTTCGTGCAATAGAAAATAGTGGACTTTTTTAATTGATGTAATCAAAATTTTAAGAAGCCGAGGAAAATTTATTGATAATTGATTAGGTTTGTTAGATGTTGAAAACCCTAATTGTTGCGTATCCTCTCGGAACTAAAATCCCACACATATTCTAAATGGCTCTTGTACTAGTTGTTAATAACATCAATTCAAAATAAGCATGTATTTTGGAGTTAGCGCTGTTACTTTTAAGAGAATACGATGAATAGTTATAAAATTTTCCTATTGATCAATTAATAAGCATCTTATAGTAAAACTTAGAAAGTTTATTGTCTGATACCTCATAAATAAATTCTTGCATAATTATTTCAATTATTGAAGAATTATATTTATTGAATACTTTTTCATTGAATGATTTCTCCAATCACATACCGTATTTGGAATCTAGGTATTCATAAAGGGATACAAATGTGAAAAATTCTGTATTAGGTCTTACAACAACTTTGATTTTAATGCTCTTGAATAATAATAGATAGGACATAGCAATATTTTCAGGTTTAATTTAGGTGATACTGAGTGATTTATTAGAGCCAGAAATGAACGAAATACTTGAAAACAAATTTAGAATCGAAATTTAAATTGTCAGCATACTAAACAGATTTATAATTTTAGCAAGAGATAATTTCTTCTCATTTGTTTAATAAAATAGCATCTCTTTTGAAAAATATATATAAAGTTGGATGAAAAAATCAGAAATATTGGAGTCTGAAAAATCTATGTAATTTAATATAATTATATCCTAGAAAATTAAATGTAATAGCATTTTTACTAATAATTGACTATGTATAACCGAATATATTCATCTAATATTTTACTTAAATTGCAACATAATATGCCAGATTTTCAAAAAAGCAATTTATTCAAAAAACTATTACAGTACTTACTCCAAATTAAAGACTTTCATAACATAGGGCAAGCATTAGAAAAGAAAAGATTAGAAACACTTAAATGCATAATGAACACAATCTTCAACAATTTTTTAAACAAAAAATTTAAGATTATATTCTTAAGCATAATTTATCATAAGACCTAACAGTTATTTAAACTTTATAGATGATCTCATGAAAGAATTATTATATAATAAAAAACATGATATTTTATTATTAGGGAATCATTTTTATGAGAATTAAACAAACAAAGAAAATGCATAAAATACAGTATAAACTTAGATTAAACATTTCTACTATTTTCTGAAGTCTCTATTTCTTATACTTTCATTCCTTAATGTAATTCTATATATTGTGATTTACATTAGAAATATTTAAACTAAGGATAAAAATAATTAAAAAACACATTTAAAATTATTATAAATCTCCTCCAATGATAGAAATAATTTTTAATTAATCAAATATCAAATCTGATTCCATCTTCTCTATCTATATAGTCCCAAATAACAACTTATATATCCTTTTTAGTTATTTACTAAGTTTTTTTGTTTCTATAAATAAATTTAATCTCTACTTAGTCTCATGAAAATAAATATAATTAACATTGATCTTCAATTAAAGAAGCTAAGAAAATATTTCGATTGCTTCTGTGTCTTTGATATCAAAAATAAATAATTTAACAAAATATTGGTTTCTCTATGCTATTTCAACATAATCTTAATTCATTTCATCAAAAATTAGAAGATATGGCATCTGATTTTTCATTATATGCTAAATTTCCAAATCTGTTCCAGTATAAATTAATGGCAGTGCTTCCTGGATCAAATAATTTTCCATGCTTAGAGAATTAATCAAATTTATACTCTTAAATGTATCCTTGATATTTTTTAGGTTCTCCATTTTAAGGAAATATCACTAAATTTGTTCCATCTTCAATGTCAAATTCTCTTCTTATGATTGGCGACTTAGCCAACACCATATAAAACAATGAGTATTTCATATTTACTTCTTTCATTTTCATGAGGATAAATGGATCAATAAACTCATTCTCAGAAGCAAAATAGACTAAAGCAACTTTTTCTGTTAAGAATTCTTATAATGAGCGAGTATCTTCTATGATATGAACTAGGGGCCTTAAATTTTCTTTTAGCCATTAAAAAAGCGCTGTATATGACTTTAAGCCTTCATAAACTTCTACATCTCCTTATCTGAAAAAAATAAGAGCTGGGTATTTATTGATTCCAAATCTTTTAATAAATAAAGGGTTTTTGGTACAATTTATTTTTCCAAATCCAAGCAATTTTTCTTTAAAGTTGATTGAAACTTTTTCAATTACTAAGTCAACTTCATTGCATTTTTCACAATCATAGCCTCTGTAAAAATGTATTAATGCATAAGGGTATTGATCAATAAACTATTCGAAATTTTTTGAATTTAGTTCATTAATGGATGCAGAAGCTAAGAACAATAGCAGTAATTAAATAAATTGCATAATTTTTATAATAAAATACAAGCATACAACAAATAATAAAGAAAGCCGAGAGTATTTCATTAAATAAAATTTCCATACTTTAACAAAGACGATAAACTACCAAAAGTAGAAGATTAATAAAATACCCTTATTGAAAAAGTATACTTCTCTAAATTGAAGGTTCAAATAATTAACATACTTAATATAATGTGACATTTAGGTTATTAATACTTTGTGATATACTTGAGTTGAAGTTTCTTTATACTTTGTAATAGCTTAACGAATTATCAGAAAAGTTTATCATCTATTCAAAAAATAATTTAAAAATAAGTAATCATGTGAATTAATCAGTCTAGAGGAAAAGACATGTATATTTGATTTGTAAAAGATTTGAAAAAATTAGGAAAATGCTAATTATCAATACTCTTTACGCTCAGTTTTCAAACTCATCTTAAGAAACTATTATTTTGAATATTTTTGATTATTAAGCGTCCATTTTTAACTTAAAAAATGCTCATTCAAAGCAAATTAATAATTTCTATTTTACGTATATTGTCAATATTTTCTGATAATATGAAATTAGGAGATGTGCAATTATGCATTTAATTTACTACTCAAATGATTTGCTAGGGATTAACAATTTGAATCTTTTAGGATTTATATATTTTCCAAAAAAATTATTGGAATATTCCAACAAAAAACAATAGGGGCTTCATTAATCCACAAAACTTAGCTTTAAGAACAAATTATTAAATATCCTTAAAAGCAATTCCATTTTTATGAAGATTTTAGAGAAAGAGAAAGTAGTAGTTTATAAATTATTACAGAATAAAATATATATAATCAAATGAGCATAGACAAATTTTAATTATACCTCTATGAGAGGTTTCTCTTTAGACTGAACTAAAACTTTTACGAACATAAATTTGTTGAAAACAAGAAACTATATTTTAAATTGAAAAGCTTATATATTTAAAATAGAAAAAGGATTTCTTTGGTTCAATTAATACACAGTCATATACAAATTTTTGGAAACCTGAAATTCAGAAATTCATTATGAATTCTCATAAAAAATATAATAATCTATAATTACATTCTTTGTATTAATGATTTCTAATCACGAGTTAGCATCATCGATAATCCAATATCTATAAATGCATCCTAATTTTTAAATCTACCTATTTACCTCCTCCTCCAATTTTGGCTCAATTTTAACTGCTTTTGAGTAACCCTAATTGGCATCTTCTTATATCTTTAAGAAGTTATAAATATTTCCTATTTATTAATTGTGAACAATCACCTCTATTATGGTATGCTTTAGCATATAAAGGATTAATCAAAATAGCACTTGAGTAATCTTGAATATCTTCATCAAATTTTTTCAAATTATAATATATATTTCCTACTAATTAAGTTCAATGNATAGCAGTAATTAAATAAATTGCATAATTTTTATAATAAAATACAAGCATACAACAAATAATAAAGAAAGCCGAGAGTATTTCATTAAATAAAATTTCCATACTTTAACAAAGACGATAAACTACCAAAAGTAGAAGATTAATAAAATACCCTTATTGAAAAAGTATACTTCTCTAAATTGAAGGTTCAAATAATTAACATACTTAATATAATGTGACATTTAGGTTATTAATACTTTGTGATATACTTGAGTTGAAGTTTCTTTATACTTTGTAATAGCTTAACGAATTATCAGAAAAGTTTATCATCTATTCAAAAAATAATTTAAAAATAAGTAATCATGTGAATTAATCAGTCTAGAGGAAAAGACATGTATATTTGATTTGTAAAAGATTTGAAAAAATTAGGAAAATGCTAATTATCAATACTCTTTACGCTCAGTTTTCAAACTCATCTTAAGAAACTATTATTTTGAATATTTTTGATTATTAAGCGTCCATTTTTAACTTAAAAAATGCTCATTCAAAGCAAATTAATAATTTCTATTTTACGTATATTGTCAATATTTTCTGATAATATGAAATTAGGAGATGTGCAATTATGCATTTAATTTACTACTCAAATGATTTGCTAGGGATTAACAATTTGAATCTTTTAGGATTTATATATTTTCCAAAAAAATTATTGGAATATTCCAACAAAAAACAATAGGGGCTTCATTAATCCACAAAACTTAGCTTTAAGAACAAATTATTAAATATCCTTAAAAGCAATTCCATTTTTATGAAGATTTTAGAGAAAGAGAAAGTAGTAGTTTATAAATTATTACAGAATAAAATATATATAATCAAATGAGCATAGACAAATTTTAATTATACCTCTATGAGAGGTTTCTCTTTAGACTGAACTAAAACTTTTACGAACATAAATTTGTTGAAAACAAGAAACTATATTTTAAATTGAAAAGCTTATATATTTAAAATAGAAAAAGGATTTCTTTGGTTCAATTAATACACAGTCATATACAAATTTTTGGAAACCTGAAATTCAGAAATTCATTATGAATTCTCATAAAAAATATAATAATCTATAATTACATTCTTTGTATTAATGATTTCTAATCACGAGTTAGCATCATCGATAATCCAATATCTATAAATGCATCCTAATTTTTAAATCTACCTATTTACCTCCTCCTCCAATTTTGGCTCAATTTTAACTGCTTTTGAGTAACCCTAATTGGCATCTTCTTATATCTTTAAGAAGTTATAAATATTTCCTATTTATTAATTGTGAACAATCACCTCTATTATGGTATGCTTTAGCATATAAAGGATTAATCAAAATAGCACTTGAGTAATCTTGAATATCTTCATCAAATTTTTTCAAATTATAATATATATTTCCTACTAATTAAGTTCAATGTAAGGCACTAGAGAAATTTTTCAATGAATTGTATTAGAATTGAATAATCCATATCGGTTTTATCATCATGGATCTTCAATTTAGAATAAACATTTTCTAGTAAGTAATGTTTAAAAGTTACATCTGTTTTTATGTGCGGTTAATCTGAAGTGCAATTTCTAAATCTTTTAAAGCCTCTTTATATTACTTCAACTGTTCATAAACTAACCCTTTTAATATATCTGAATGATCACCTCTGCTATTATATGGAATATGGAATTATGGGTTAATTGAAATAGCTTTCGAGTAATCCTCCAAAGCCCAATCAAACATCTACAACTTAAAGTCTGATAATTCTATTTAACAGTTATTAATATTCACCTCTGTTGTTATAACCCAAAGAATAATTGGGATAGATTTTAATTGCTTACATGTATTCCTCAATAGCCTCATCATACATTATCAACTTATCAAAAACAATCCTTATGATATATATTTAAATTCACCATTGTTGTTATTTGCTAAAACATTTAATGGATTCAATCTCAATTGTCTATGAGAAAGCCTCAATAGCTTTTTAATATTTATGTAAAGATTTCATAAATATTATTATTCACCTTTAGATAGATAAAAACCGACATTTTTTGATATGTTTTCATTTTGTTTTTTGCCTATCTACCCTTTCCTTCTCCATTTATTTATTCATTTAATTTAATAAATTATTTTCATTATTAATAATTAGCAATAAGATATGTGAACTCATTTTATTCATTTATAGTTTTCTAGTTATCATTAAATTTGCAATTATGATCTGATTCGAAATTTTATAGGTAAATCAAATATTGGAATCACTTCATCTCATTATTCAAATTAATTTTTCATTCTTAAAGGATCATCAATTTTTTAAGGAATTAGTTATTCTAATATTTAGTCCTGATATCTTTCTTAAGTAACCCTTTTATTCTCACACACAATCGATAACTCGATTCTAGCATCTTGTAATTTTATTTGTAGAACTCAAATCCGGCAATTTGTACATCATTTATTGATTATTATTCTAATGACCCAAGGGATATTAAAGTGTATTTAGTGAGGTCTTAGTTTTTAGTGAATCACTAATTTCTTCCAACGTAATCATGGATAGATTTTATTCTTAAGTCTTCTTGCTTAAAACACATCAATAGCTGTGATATCTAAAATTTAACTAATTTTTCCTTAACTAATTCTACCATCGTTCCTCATTCTATTGCCTTTTTTAAAATACTACCCGAGTAGATTAGGACTCATTATCTTAATCCTAAAAGCTCCTTTTGTTTCAAATCTCATAGACCTTTTTTGAAAGCCAAAGTACAACTGTATTCTCATTGTCATAATAGTAATATTAAATTTAAATATAGGGAGAGTTTCCAAACCAACATAAATTATCATGTAAGCTTTGATTATTCAAAACAAAAACTATTTGCATCAATTCTTTATAGAGATATTAATAATTTTAAATCTTAACGATATTAAATTGATTCATAACACTCAAATGATTTTACAACCATTATACAAAAATTAGTTTTCCTAGTTTGTTTACCCTCTATGTCACTCGTCTTATTATTATAGTTTTATCATCTTTCACAACTTATTATAGGGATAATTACACAATCTTTAAAGCGATTAATTTTCACATTCTATGTATGAGATTAGAGTTCCATATTTTCTCAATTGTGCGTTAAAATTTGCTAACTGCAGATGATGATTAATAATAATAATAATTTATTTATTTATTTAATAAATGAACCCAAATCATTTTTTTGCCTTCTTCCCCTTAGGCGGAATAGGAAAAGGAATAGTCTAGGTAGGCGGGGCCTTTCGGCCGTGGACTATGTTGCCCTAAGGTGTTACCTCGATCATCTCAGAGTCTCTCTGACTTGGCTTTGGTTTTGGTTATTGGGAGTCCTGTCTTGGCTACGTAAGGTGGTTAGGTTTAGTAGAAGGGTTTGTTTTTAAGGGCACAGCTCTAACAAGGGTTTGGGTTTTGGGGTTGGGGTTGGGTTTGGGTTTGGGGTTGGGGTTGGGGTTGGGGTTGGG